CAAAAGGTCTCTTCACATATAATTAATTTAACTGATATAAGATCTCTTCACATACGATTAATTTAAGGGACAAAAGATCTCTTCACATACAATTAATTTAACTGATATAAGATCTCTTCATATACAATTAATTTAATGGACAAAAGATCTCTTCACATACAATTAATTTAACTGATATAAGATCTCTTCACATACAATTAATTTAACGGACAAAAGGTCTCTTCACATACAATTAATTTAACTGATATAAGATCTCTTCACATACAATTAATTTAACAGACAAAAGGTCTCTTCACATACAATTAATTTAATGGACAAAAGGTCTCTTCGCATACAATTAATTTAACGGACAAAAGATCTCTTCACATACCATTAATATATTTGATATAAGGTCTATTCATATATATATATAATTAATATATCTGATATAACACTTTTTTTTACATTTAGTAATGAGGTTCCCTAATTCTGTGGAAGTGAAAAATTATTTCTAAGTAATTAATCATACATACCATATCTTGATTTCTTTGGTACTCATAACATAAGTTTCCTATTAAACGAATCAAATTTTTCTTGAATTCATAAGCAGGATGAGTCTCAATGGAAAGACTACAGTCATTTATTTCCTGCAAGCTCTGAATGGGTGTGAAATAGTTAGTACCAGTCTTCCCTAGTAGGTGGATGCTTTTAAGAGTTTCTAAAAAGGGAAATAAAGAGCAAATTAAAAACTTATACAGGATTATACTTCAAAAGAAATAATAATTACTTTATTTATAATCAATGTATTTTTCATTTCAAAAACATCTAACAGCTGTTTGCATCTTGTTAAACACAGAGCTACACAATGTGCTACCTATGATCTGTCCACTGCAGGTATCAAAACCTGATTTTTATTGTTATAAGCTCTCTGACTTACTGCTCAGCCATCCCCTTAGGGCCACATCTAATAGCAACAAGTATAAAAGTCTTAGGTATTTATCTTCATTCAATTAAATTTTCTTACAAGAATGTACTAATGTTCTTAAACAACTTTTGCCTTTTATGAATTTTATTTAATAAAAACACATGAAATTTTATGTGAAGTTTAGTAATTAAAGTATATATTTGTATAGCATGAATAACAAGAGAAAACAGTATTACAATCAATGGAATTAAGAACAAAGATCCTTTAAAAAAAATAAACACTATATTTTCTAGTCCTTCAGTGTAACACAAATGCATCGGGGTTTCTTAATTTAATGTAATTTTTGTGCTATGTTCATTTATCATTCTACTAACATCATCTACATCCCTAGGGGAAATAACTGTGGTTTAAAGAAGACAGAGAACAAAGTCACTATACACTGGTGAAGCACAACATTACCATTAAATACTGTGCTCTGTATAAAGACCTCTTACTGTTGTAAACCCATATTGAACCAGTAAAAAATGATGTCATTGTATTATTATCAGCCTTACTGCAATGTTATATCATACACATAATTTCAATGTACTCCAAGTTTATTACCATAGAAAACAAATTCTGTGTAAGATAATTATTGATCAAACACAAAAATAAGGCTTAGATGATGATGTCATACCTTTAAAAATAAAGAAAACTGATGTAGAATTTAATCATAATGCTTGAAAATAATAGGAAAATGGTCAGAGTTTGCATTAAAAGAAAATTGTCTTGGTGGAAATAATGATAGGAGTTCTCGCATTTCACTGAAATAATCACTGCCAATCAAAGTTCTTTACTTCCTCAGTTGATATTATGTACAGTAATTCTATTATCAAACTTTATAAAATAATCTAAAGAAATCTCTTACCAACTAAACTTTCAAGCAACCAACAATCTTGTTTCAAGTCGTCACTCAGTGCTGGTAGTGTAGAAATTACGCATAAAACATTTAGTATTTTCTTAACTTCCACAGCCTCCTAAGTGTACAGTGAAATGTAAAACAATTTACACTTTATACAGTTCATAAATGTTTACAACTGAGACATAATTACTATAAAAATAATATGACCCACATATTTTCAGTTAGCTTACTTATTAGCTCTACTTATCTTGCTACATTTTCAAGTAAATTTGACATCTAAATTTGAACATCTTCATAACTTAGGTACTAGTGTAATTTATTTCAGGTAAGTCTTTAAAGTTATCAATAAATTTAATTTCTAAATTTAACCCTTTCTCTGCAGCTGGGACGTATATTTCCCAGTGCTCCCACCCCCTCACACTGCAACTGGGATGTTTCCCATGCATGACTTATGGGAGTAAAATGAGTTGGAAAGTATTTATCAACATCCCACCTAATGTCGATATATGGTTTCTCTCAATGTTTTACACTCAGCCCGTCAGTAACCAACAAGATGCCTAAGCGGAATGTACAACAACTGCATACTGACCGTGAACATATTGCTAGAGTGGTGAGTAAAAACCTTAATTACTATGTAAAAATGCTTAATGCACTTGACTCAGATAGTTTAGAAAATGGTGAATATGAGTCAAGTGGTTTTCAAATGTGTGATGATGAAGAGGCAATGAGACAAGAGGATGCTAACTCTCCATCTAGTGATGATGGTGAACCCGGACCCAAAAGAGGAAAGTGTAAACAGTGTTGACCAGATAGACACAATAGCAAACTGATCAAAGAACTGGTTCAATCTTAAACCAAGCAGCCTGTTTCTACGTTGATTCTGGTCAAACAGGGACACAACAGCAAACTCATCAAAGAACTGGTTCAATCTTAAACCAAGCAGCCTGTTTCTACGTTGATTCTGGTCAAACAGGGACACAACAGCAAACTGATCAAAGAATTGGTTCAATCTGAAATCTAGCAGGTTGCTTCTACCTTGACTCTGGTCAAACATGGACAAAAAACTAGATTGATCATGACTGTGATCAAATATTTATATACAAAAAACAAAAGATCTATTACAATATTGGGTGAATGTAAATCAAGCAGACTGATCCTACCTAATGCTGATGAAACATTAGCACAGACAGATCTGTACATTAAAAATTAAATATATCAGAATATTTAATTCTGGTGTGAAATTTACTTTTCTTTTCTTGCAATTTATGCAATTCTGAGTTTTAAATTCTCTAAAACTTTAAATAACCAGAAAATATTTGAAAAACAATATGTGTTATACATGTTTATATATCTATATATATACACCTGGAAAAAAGTTAAGCACCCCCAAATATTTTTCAGGATTGCTTATTGAAAATAATGTTTAATTTTCATGATGTTGAGCAATGTTCATAATTCCAAACATAATTAAAAGGATGTGAGCGTTCAGGTGTGACATTTAAATCAGGCGCGTTTTTTTCCCCATGTGCAACTTGCTCCCTTCTTCACGTC